CTCCAAATCACTGGAAATGTTGTTATATAGATGATAAAACTGACTGTCCGTCATTAAATGATATTAGATGATTTTCCCTATGTTAGTGTTCAGTCTGACACCCCTGATTGCTGTCTGGATACTGTCTGGTTTCCAAACACAGCTGTCAGTGCTGTGCATCCAGCTGGCTCATAGCCATACAGGCTCACATGAGTAGTTTGAGAGGAGACTATGTTTAATGGCAGGCCTGATACGGACGAGGTGAGGGGGTGGGGGTGCTTGTGTCATCCTAAATAAAAGAAGGGGGGTGATAAGTTGATGACAGGGACAGTCCTCTTTGTCTTGTGGTTGCACGCTCCAGTCAACCGTCAATGAAGTGGATTGTGCTGAGAAAACCCAATGTTTCTTTGCTACTGCCTGGTTTCACAGCCATGCTCTTTTTATATATTAACAGCAATGCAGTGGAGGGTTAAAGCCACCAAAATTCAGTGTACCATGGGGTACTTTATTGTAGTTGAACATTACCCAGTGGACTTGCACTTTACAATGGATTTAATATGGTTTGTAAAACTTGTAGCTATGGCAGGGCAAATCAAAAATTGACTGGCATTTTGCTTTGTCAAGATTAATACTAAGAGACTTGTTCGGTAACAAAACACTGTACACTGTACACTGTACATAAATATATATATATATATATATATATGTACTTTATTTATGTAATAAATAAAGTAGTTACGCCATTTAAACTTTTATCATTTAAAAGTAGCCTAAAATTGAAAAATTTTAACTTGTTAAGCAGCTTTGCTAACTAGCCAGCGCTTATCCTGAATTTTAACGTTTAGCATTAGCAAAACAGCACTGCTAGCTCAAGACTAATTATTTTTGTACATAAAAATATAAAATAAGTTACCAAACTTCTTAGGGAGTTCAGAACAAAACCTTACCAAATGTTTGTCCATGGTGTAGCTTTTTTAGCTTGAAGTGTTTGGTGTAATGGAAAATAGACCTCTGTGACAGTGTAGATTTAAGGCAATGGTAACTGTTGGGTAAAAGGCCAACGTCCTCAACGGATAGAGCAAATATAATGACATTGTTTCTCTTTCCACCACTTGGCTAACTGCAAAACTGTGATAGTAGATAACCAATGAGAATCTTAATAAGGTGGTTTGGGATTAGCTGACCTACATATAAATGCCTATATCATGATAAACAAGTGTTAAACTAAACTACAGCAGCGGCACGCGCTCTGCCAACATGAACACTAAGCACGTGTTAAAATAAGCACATATGTCGCGAGGCATCAGTTCTGTCAGAAAGTGAACGCGCTCTTCTCCGCTACTGTTGTCACTGTAACTGTGTGTCCACGTGGATCCCGACAGGAAACTACTTAACATCACTGTGGGGAGTCCGGCCAACCCACACCAATTAAAGCTATCAGATAAAGGATAACAGGCATCCGTAGATGTACATTAAGATAGTGCTCGTTATCAACAGTAGGATACACAAAACTCATTTAGGGGTGTGAGTTGGGTCACTGTGCTAATTGGTTTGGGTGACAAAAAACAGCACTTTCACCGGGTGTGATTTACATCCACGAGTCTAAAACTTTGTTGCACAGATAAATGAATAAATTGTGATTAGAGCAGCAATAAAAGTCTCAATATTTTATTTTAGTAAAAGCATTATTGGAATAAATCAAACACAATGTATTCACACAACTTTCACCTGTTTCATATATAACCTTATATATAGCTCAGAAACTTTTGTTAGTCACAATTGTGCACCCACCGCTGTATCCACATGTGCACAAAACATGTAATAGTTACTATGAGTCTAAGACCTTGTTGCACAGATAAATACCTTCAGTGATTACGGCCAGCAATAATAGTCTCAATTAATTTTAGTTTTATAAAAGCATTAGGGAAATAAATCAATCAAATATCATATCTTCACATAACCTTCAACTGCTGTTTCATACAGAACAGAATAATGCAGCTCAGAAACTTTTGTTTCTCACAGTTGTGCAAACACATAAAAGCGGGACTTCGCTTGTTACACACCACTGTATCCACATGTGCACAAAACATTTATAGTAGTTACTATGAATGGAGAACCTACCCGAATAGCTCTTTAAACGCCTCGATATTCCTCCTCACTTCCTTTAAGAGTTTTTAATGGCGTTTGCAAAATGAAAATATAAAAATCTAATAAAAGTCCTTGGACAGCATAATAATAATTATTAAAAAAAAAAACTTTACTTGAAGACTATTCCACTTAAAAAATAGTCGTGCACAAAACAGGAGTGGGAGGAAAAAGTTTTAGCTTAATGACCCAATGACATAACTCTGACTTAAAGCTGCTGTGTCTGGTCGATGGTGCAGGACGTGAAAACGAGAGAGAGAGAGAGAAAGAAAGAGAGCGGAAAACCTAGTGAAGGGTTAAAGTCATCAGTAAATTATGGAGTGGAGTCCTGCCAGCCGGAGCAAAGGGGGAGAGGTGACGTCACACAGTGAGGATGAAGGGGTTAAAACTGGCCCTCATGATCTGAAGTTGAAGTGGTGCCTCTCAGCTCACTAGATGATCTGAAATGTTTTTTAATGACTGCATAATGGCATTTTAATTGGTAGCTCTGATGCCAAAGAGTGGGGCTTAAGTAGGCTGATGTCATGAGTGGGTTTTAAACCAGATGTTGTGACGTCATTAAGGGGCTGAGGATCAGGACTTTTTAAGGTCTGAAGCCCTTCTATCATCCTCCTGGACATATTTGGCTTGTTCTGTTCACATGAGCAGCAGCGGCCCCAGCTGACAGAGTTTAGGTGTCTCAGCTGCTGAACATCAGTCTCAAGATCCAGACCATCCTCAACTGGTGGTGATGCAAGATATAAAACTTAACAAAAGGTTAGGTGTGCACACTCCATAATAGCTACCTCTGCTTTATTACAACATAGATTATTTTATATTCATATAATGGTGTGTGAGTTTCTTGGAAAAGCTGAAGTAGATGACATAATTTGGTATCAGAATATTCATAAGCAGTCTGCCTTCCAAAGTTGGCACATAACAATATCTTGTCAATCATCAGCTTTTTCTCCACTTTACTCCCAAATTCCTGCATATTAGCAGCTTTGGAAGTTATACTGGTAAATGTAATTGGATGCAGGAACTCCCAGGAGTCTATGCATCATAACATTTGCTGCTGGTTCAGCTTAGAACTGCACCTTCTGCAGTTTGCTGCATATAAAGTGAAAGGGCCAGAGTGAAATAGAAACAACTTCTGTGGTTTCACTGACAACACAGACTGTTTTATAATGCTGTGTAAAATCAAAATTTTCAGATGGAGGTGACCACAACGTCACCTAACCGATGATTGTATTCCACTGTGCATCTGTTTGTGGTTCTTTGACATGAGAACATTTGTTTCATCTGCAGTAAAGCATCTCACCATCACTCCATGTAATAAAGTACTAATAAATTACATATCAAGATATACACATGAATACATTCACCTATGTGTAAAAACACTACAAAATAAAAATTAAAAGCTATATAATGAATCAAAAATGTATCTTCAACATCTATTTAAACATTGAAATTAACAGAAGTAATAATTTCCAAAGGATCCTTTAACAGGAAACACAAACAAATTATAATCAGTGCTATAACACATCAAATCTTTATTTTTACACCAGTATAACACTCCATTGGAGGCTGTTTTAACAAACACACAAGTAAAAGTCCATAAACACAAAATGCAAACCTTCAACATTACTTCTGAGTTATCGGGTACATAGTTTCATATATTCTTTTCATTTTGAGCTGTTCACACCACACTGTGTTTGCAACCATGCACCTCTATGCCTGTGAAATAAGAGGCGTGAATATGATGTCAAGACCCAGAGGCATGTACATATCACACCAACTCTCGTACTGGTCTAACCAGATCAGCCCAGTTGGCATGGTGATATTCACAAGTTACATGTTGTACAGTTTCTCTGACTGTAAGTGTTGTGATGCACTGAGAAAATCATTTTTGGATAATTTGGATCACAGCGTCAAATTGACAGGGTCAAAAATCATTTTCATGTTTCTATATGTTGAAAACCCATCCTGTTTGGCCATGATATGATATTAATATTAAATAACAAGCTTCTGTAGAGTTAAAGCTTTAATGGATTTAATGACAGAATGCAGGAATGGGAAGCATTGAACACAAAATATTACTTAAACAAATCCTTTGGTTTGTTTAATAAATAATAATTTAAGTTGAATAAAACATGCAAACATGTATGTATATGAAATCGTCATGATAATAAATAGCTTGAACAGCTTCAGTCACTCTACATCCATCTCGCTTGCATTAAAATGAAATGTTTGTACCAGCAGATGTGAAAGTGCGTGATTGAGGACGGTTCCAGTATCATATTCTCATACATCAGTGTGTTGACTCCAGTGCTGCCGACACAAATCATCGAATTATTGCAACAAGGATACCAGGAGCACAAGAGCAGAACAAACAGTTAACAGATGAATGCTGGAGAAGGAAGTAGACGGGAGTATGAGAATATATTATATTAGTCATTTTCACTAGGAGTTCACGATGGGGAGCCTTTGGAACACAGATTATCATTAAAGCAGTTCTGTCCTATAAGATTTAGAAGAAAAAAAGGGGGCAATTTATTTAACATTCTATTTAATAATAGTCAGACACAAATTTATCCAGACAAACATGACAGACAATGAAATACTTTGTGGAAAAAAGGAGGACAGATCACTTTTAAAGCTGAGGCTACGTCCACACTACTACATTTTTTTTTTAAACGGCATTTTAAACGAATATGATCTCCATCCAGACGACCGTTTTAGCTCCGTATCAGAAATAATCTCCATGCTATCACACCTGACAACACATATCTCATCACCATTCACGCACACCGGGCATGCACGTGCCGGTGTAAACAGGAAGCAGATCGTCTACTCTGCAGTTGCGCAGTTGCAGAAAATACTATGAACGAGGAACAGCAAAGACAGTTGTAGCATTATAAAATGCAGAATTTAACTGCACAACCGCTGCTAGCAAAGACAACAAGGTCAGTGATGCTTGTAATGTGTTATCCATGGTGCATTTACCACTGGTAGTTGTATCCATTGAGACCCAAACAGGGAGCGACCATGGGTGTCTTCGTCACCATTTCCAAAGGTCTCCGTTTCTACCCGTCTACACTACAATGCAAAGTGTTTCCAAAAGTCTCCATTTTTGTATTTTCAAAAACTCCAGAGCAGTGTGGACATCAGGCGTAAATGTAGCAAAAATTATGCGTTTTAAAACCAAAATGTAGTAGTTTGGATGTAGCGTCATACAGTACTAAAACAGTACAGCATCAGATTGTGGCCTGTTGTTTATTTGTTTGTCAGAGCTTGAACTTTATGTCTGAACTTGATGGAGCCTGAATTGACATAAACTAGTAAACTGCTTGGGTTTGATTTGGGCTCAGGATTAAAATTATCAGTGAAAATGGTGTTAAATCAGGAGTTATATAACTTGGTTCAGGTTGGATAGAGATGGAAATGATTTATTGGTTCAAACTCTGCAGATTCACTCAAAGCTGTAACCTGTCGACTGGACGTTTGATGCTTTTAACTCAACAGAGAAATGGTCCATTTTCAACTGCTACAAGGAGCCTCCAGTTTGTGTAGGTAAATCCTGAAATGCATATACATAGGGAATGTACCAACTCCCCTTCCCCCATCACATCACCCCTCAGTCTCATTGTGGTTTGGTCCAGTAGTCACAGAGCAGTAGTCTTTATGTCCGGACCTGGAACTTGCCAGCCTTTGTCATGTACTTGATGCCTTTGAAAGGTTTATACTTCTCACCATACATGTCCAGTCGGTTCACCTTTAGCCCTGTTGGAGGACACAGTAATTTATCAATACTCTAAAAATGATCAACCATCATAACTGTCCAGCATGAATGTTTGAGGATGTTGGGTGGCTCAGAGTGGGCATGCTGATGAATTTATGGATCTTCCAGACAGATTTCTCAGCTCTGATCACAACTTAGCCCCAGTTTGTGCCTCTCATACGTTACCATTACATTCCTGTCAGCACAAAGCATCTGATTTTCTCAAAAGGTATATGCCTGGTGAAACTTGAAAAACCCAGATGGTCGCTTAACTCTTACAGCTGTTCTGAAGACACTTCCAGAATCATTAAAGACTCTTTTAACTACCTAGATAATAAAAAAGGTTCCCAAGTTTCGCCTCTTTTATCTAATCCAAACAAAGATGGTAGCAGGGGATGATATATGTTTGTGCTCAATTTGTATAAAGTGAACCAACATTTCAGCTTTTACAATACATAATTTCATGCTACCTGGATTAGGAAATACATTTACAATTTGAGAGAGAGGCTGTCATGTAGCAGATGTAATATTTTGTCCTAGAGGATTCTGGGCTTTCCAAGACTAGAGAATATCTTAAAACCTGCTTACAGAGTACTCTCTGATATCATGTGTCAGAGAGGATGGGGTGTATTTACTGCATTTGGCACCATCTAGTGGCCATTATGTCACTGTGTTCAGAGAATGGGACAGTCAGGTGCTTATCAGCTGAGCAGGATATGTGACAAAAACCTCTCGAGTTAGTGAAATCTAATTATTCTCAGTGTTACTGAGAGTAAAAGCAGTGAAAATAATGATATTCATTAGTTAATAATAGAATGTGTGAGAGTTTAGCAGGAAGGTAAATAAGGTGCTGTTTGACTTTGATGGAGAATGTCAACAATGAAAAACTATTCCTACAAAATTCATACAGAGACACAATCACGACTGCATGTGGATAGGCTGTTAAGATGGTGTGTGTGCGTGTTTACCTGAGATGGCCATCTGTTGGATCTTGAATTGGATGTTGATGGTGGGGTTCTCGTCAGGTTTGGAGGCCCCCGCCTGCAGGCTCATTGTACCTTTCAGACTGGGAAGCTTCTGTGGGTTGATCTTACCAACATCCCATGTCAACAACTGGACAAAACAAAAGATATCAAGATGAAGTAAGATGAAGTCACTCCTTTTCCTACACAATGATAACGAAGAACGAAATCAAATAGTGGCATCTTTGTTTTTGGTGTAATTTAAGACTTTTTGAGACTTTGAGACCTGACCTCCAGCCACGTTCATGTACATTCCCCTACTTTAGGTGTATTAACAGCCTTGGACACAATTTCTAAGTACCTTTGTGACTGGGTCAAAGGTGTATGTTCCCTGGGAGGGGTTGAGGTTGGCGTTGAGGACTCCCCGGGGCAGCTGGCTGCTCACTAACACCGACTCCACAGCCTTGCCCATTGTCTGTTTGGGGCCAAGGGTCAAGTCAAAACGTCCCTGGGAGCTTCCCTCACGGAAGGTGATGTTGTGCTTGACGTAAACTGGGATCGCCACCAGGCTAAAGAAGAAGCAGGCCAACAAACAACAGGTGCCAGAGTCACATGAGCCAGTGGAAAAATATGTTTTTATGGTTGTGTTCTAACGTGAGTGCACCACTTAACAGAAAATCCTTCATACAGAATAGTATATTGGCAACTATTTGATAAATAACACATGGATAACATGCTGAATTAGTTAGAGGGGTGTTTCAGTTTTATGTGTCTTTGCCATAATGTGTCATAAAAAGACAAAACACTGACTTCTGAGAGCTGACGTGGTAGGAGAGCAACCGGAAGTTTCCATCAGGGGGAATGAAAGAGAGGATCCGCTCGGCTTCCCAGCGCTTGAACCGAACACACGGGTGGAAACTGACATCGTCCAGCAGCCGAGGATTCTGGGAGAAGGAGACAGATATCATTGGGTGGCAAGTAAAACAAAATATGTTTACCTGTAGCTGTTTAAGTAATTTTGGCTTTAACAACAGCTTGATAGAAAAAAAATCTTGTTTTCAAATATACTTCAAGTGATACATAGTGATATATGAGCAGAGGGTGAAAAGCATTTTAATCAGGTCTTTTATATATATATATATATATATAACAGTATATATATATAACATTTATGTGGGGTCCAAAGACATGGCTTCTGCTGTTGAACTCACTGTTTTGCATTTCTCAGTTCTCATAAACCTGAAGCACTTTCTTTAATAATTCACAGATGCAGGGACTAAGCTGAGGCAGAGCACCAGCTGGTCTCTGTGACAGCTGAACTCTGTGTCATGTACTCATGTATTTACTTCTTTCTGTATTGGTCTGATAGTGTAAATCCACTAAGAGCTAGCTTGTTGAATCCACAAGAGGTTTAAAAAAAGAGTTGTGAAGTCACCATAAACGATAGGGTGAGGTCAGGCATTCCTGTCAGTTTTACACAGGCATCAATAACTCCCTGGATTTCTGCCGTAATGGTGGAGCCTGAGGAGAAAACAACAAAGTATAACATTGCTTTACAGACAAGGACTTGACTAAAACTCATTCTAAAGGTTGACATTGTTATTTGTGGAGTAAGATGTATGTCTATGTAATAAGTGCAGAGCCATACCTGATTTATCAATGATAGCATCGATCTCCTCCACCACATCAAAATAAGCTTCGTTGTTGGTGTATTTCACCCCAGTGCGTCGCCATGGCACCACTGACAGCTGGCCTGTAGGGAGCTGTTCACCCACGTTGGTGCTGCCTGGAAAACACACAGTGTTCACAGAAATCTCATGTTATATTGTTTTATAACAATATAATGATGACTGACACAGACTCCTCAGGTTAATAATGATGTACAGTGGGGTCCAAAACTCTCCCATTCAAGTAAAAGTTTTTTCCAAGCAGCAACCTCTGGGGCTGAAAAATGAAGTTAACATGGGAAGTGCCAAAAACTGTAGTTCCTTATATAACTCACTCGTTTAAATTTTTATTAAGGCTTGAAGTTCTGCATAACTGAGGGCGTGGCAAGTATCAGGTGGGTGAGCGTATGTTCGCCACAAACCGACATGCCAACACGTTGTATCTCACATCTGCATTTTGATCTAAACATTGGGAGTGTCTGACTCATTTTGCTACGGACTGTGGTTAACATGTAAATGGATTGTACCTGTGATGGTGTTGACCATTGTGCGGAGGATGGTGGGGGGCTTAATGAGTTCTTTGAGGATGTTCGACTCTGTGGCCAGTGGAAAGCCGTTGTCCAGCATCTCCTCCAGTAGTTCATAGACCACTACCACATTGTCCTTGATGGCAGCTTCTGTACACACTCCGAAATAGTCCTGAGATCACAGAAAACAGTTAGGATATCGGTATTTAAAGTCAGATATCGGTCATTAACTAAACTATCAGTGGATTGAAAACAAAAAACCAAGTGAGCAAGAACCTGGAATGTGTCGACAACTCTGTGCAGAAACTCAATGACGAAGAGCGGCGGCACCTCGCTCTGGATGACTGCCACAAAGTAGATGCGATGCCTGAGCACACTGATAAGGTAGTGGTGCGGTGTGGGGATCACTGGTGGGACGTTCTCCGGCTCAGTGGCACGCTCCTGCGCCTCAAAGAAGTAGTCGCACACTGAACGGCTGACCACGCTCTTCCAGTGCTTCTCCAGGAAAATGTCCCCTGAGGCGTTTACTAGGAACAGGCTGTGGATCATTTTGGCTGGAGGCTGAGAGGCTAATGATATAAAAGAGAAAACCAAAGCATTTAAAATAGGAAAAGGTTGAGTAGTTTCAGTGAACTCTAAGAATAATGCGACACATAAATAAAGGTCACTGGTTTATACTTATTGTATGTCTCGGTGACATTCGATGAGTGATGCAATATTATAAAGTCCACATAATACAAAATATTGAGTCATGTTGAAATTACAAATTGCCTATTATATGACCTGCTGCTACAATTATTATAATTATTATTTCTATTATTATTATTATAATCATCGTCATTATTATTACTGTTGCTGTTACTGTCACTATTATCATCACCATTGTCACTGTCAGTATTATCATGTCTCTCTCTCTCTGCCCACTCTGAGTGTGGCTCTGCTCGAGGTTTCTGCCGCTTAAAAGGAAGCTTTTTCTTGCCACCTGTCGCCAAGTGCTTGCTCATGGTGGGAATTGTTGGGTCTCTGTAATCAATGTCTGTATGTACGGTCTAGAGCTGCTGTGTTTGAAAAGTGCCTTGAGACAACTTCTGCTGTGATTTGGGCTATAAAAATGGACTTGACTTGACTTGACTGTAGCCTTCTTTAACACAATGTGTTGAAAGGATTACAGTATCACATACAAAGAATTTAACTTATGCTTAGGTATTTTATTACATATATGCAAATGATTTGTATGTATTTATAGAGTTATTTAGTCATTTCAGTGAGATTGAACATTTAAATAATAAAGTCTTTGAACAGGAACAATAAAAAAGAAAGAAAGAAGAAGGGAAGTAAGAAAAAAACAGTATACCATGCCCACAACTGAAAAGACAGCCCTTCCTCCTCTCACATGACACATTTCAGCAAGTTTTATGCTCTGGACAAAGCACAGACACTGGTCATACAATGTGCTTCCTTCAGCAGCAGAGAATACTGTTGGTCTGTGTGTCACTGTAACTACACAACGTAACACAATATCAGTACACTCTTGTTTTTTAATGTGTTGAATAACAAAATATTGTTTTCACATTTTTGGATCCATATATATATATAATTTACATCGTAACTTTATTAGCTAAACTCACAGAGTACACAAACTTTCTTCACAGCACCGCACGAATGAATGGCTCACTAACTCCTATAATTGAAGTGTAATGGGTCAATTTAAAAGTGTCAACAATAAATTTTAAATCCTGTAAGTGGAGTTTTGTTTACCGCTCTCTCAGGCAAAAAGGGAAACAGCCAAGTGAACAGGGTTTTATTTCATTCAATAGTATTACGTGTTCGTAAGTAAACTGATGGTGGCTGAGGAAATATGACACCGGAATATTCATTAAATATGCGACAAAGATATCAGGTTCAGACTGGATATAACTCAACGCTACAAAAACCTGAACAAAGTGCAGCCACATGTAATTATAACCGTTATGACATTTAACTGTAATTAGTTGTCTATCGCACAGTGGTTGAAGGCCTCCATCTCCACACAAGATGCTACATCAGTCCCTCCTCCTGCCTCAGTCTCATGACAGAGGAAAAGCTCCGTCACCCGGTACAGAGGATAGAAATACATTAAAATAACCACGCTGCTCTGGCTGAAAATTTACCATTTACTGCTCGAGCCATTCATAAATTGTAACCCGACTTACCGAAGACAATTTCTTAACGTTTTCGTCTCGCCTTTCACCTTCTTTTCTTCCCAATGAAAGATCAAGCTGCCGTCGTTGCTTCCCGTTTGGTGGAGCAGATCCTGATGCGCGAAGCATAGCGGAATACAGCGAACCAATCAGAAGCCGAGTAGACTCTAAAATCCCGCCTACTTAATGGGATCATTGGTCAATAATACGGAAGCTGAAGACTTGTGACTTGGCTGTGATTGGACCGTGAAGGAAAAGCTACAGTAAATACCAGTAAAGCTACCCGCTGATTGGCTTCAAGATGGAGCTGGTCTGACATTTTGTTTCAGTATCAGATTTCATCTTGTGGAGTCTCTCTCCATTCAATTTAACAGAGACAGGTGCACGAGGGAATACTGCAGAGTTTAGAGTCTAAAATGCTTTTTCAGTCAGTCTGCAACATACACTTCATTGTATTTATTATTATGTTATGGAAATAGAAAAAAATACTTTTGTATTTTACCACAACACAAAGTGAAATTGTGAAGGAAGAGATGAAAATTGGACAGAATAAATTCTGACATCCATAAAGAGAATGCTGATGACTGGGTGATACTTATTTATGCATACTAAAATCAAAGATCAAGATCAATTCATGTCATCGAGATGACAAATAAATACACAGTGCATAAATGTGAGATACACAGGACCCTATTAACCTTCTAAAACGTTTCCCTGTTGAAACAAAGTTATAATATTTCAAACATACAGTAATGTACACACCACAGTTATTTTCTTTAAAGTGCCCTATGTGGAATATATTGAATCTACTATTTATGGGAACACATTCCAAATGGAAAACTGACAATTAACACTTTTATCCTCTTTACCACAATCTGTTGTGTTCATAATCTTTGATCATGTCTCACCTGATATGATTCAAAAGCAGCAAAGCAGCATTAACTAGTAGAAACGCTGCACAGAGTACATGGAGGAATGAGAACTGGGTGCACAGTGAATGAATTGTATTCATGTCTGAGAGTTCACAGTCTTTGTCATATTCAGTTCTGCTTTCTTTACAGGTGCAGCCCACACCCTGAAGACAAAGTTTACACACACATGCAAACAATGAACACATGAGGAATTGTACACATAAAATCGTCAATTAAAACCTCATGGTAAATGTTAACAGAAGAACACGGATGTTAGAACAATTACTAAACTAAGATATTATAAAGAGGTACTGTAGTGCTGTTTTTTCTTAGAGCCTAAGTGCCGTTTAACAGAGGAGAGTACACTCATACGGAAAAATAAGTTTAATAAAGTTTATTAATTATTTTATGCATTCTACATATTTTTTTTTCTTTATTCTTATCTGTATTTTTTTTAAATGTCATTATCATTCAATTTATCTCATCATTATTATTATCATCTTATCATTGGTGGGTTTTATTTTCCATCTCATTCATATTATTTTCCATACATCAATGTTTTTTTTTAAAGATTTTTTTGTTTATTTTATGTCTTTTTCATTTGAAGTAATTTCTTTGTTGTAAAGCACTTTGAGCTGCATTTCTTGTATGAAAGATGCTCTACAAATAAAGTTTCTTCTTATTATTATTATCATTAAGAGCTGAGATAACTTCTGTTATGAGTCAGCGCTATATTGTATTCAAGACATCAGAGATAATTTATCCATCTGTTATGATCATAAAGAAAAAGCTGAATCTCTGCTGACTGGTGGTGATTGTGAAAACAAAGAGTGAAACAAAGATGTCATTTTTACATGCACTCAAGCAGTCAGCACTCACCCCCTCCAAATCCTCATTCTCTGTGGACAGACAAAGATAAAAGCAGCAGCACAGTTATAACATTACATCTTTTCACTGACATTACGCATGCAGGTATCTCTCTTATTCAGCAGTACTAAAAGTTATTATAAACAAAAATTGTAATATGTTAGTGTAAGCCACTGACTGGTGATTATGCTACGTTTGGAAACCAAACATGTTCTGAGGCTTACATTATGTGGGTCTGACAAATGTGATTCCTGTGGGGTTAGACTTACATGTATTACTTTGGAAGTGAGACCCTGTCATTCACCACTCAGGAAAATTCAGAGGAATATAACTTATTCCTTATAATATAAATAAAAGATGTATAATCTATGTATGTGAATTTTGTTGAAGATAGAAGTGGGTGAGGAGATGATGTTTTCACATCAAGGCTTTTTGATATGACATGTTTGTGTTTTACAGGGACATCTAGTGGCAACAAGTGGTCAAAGCAATTCCATAAGTGACTGAACTAATGCCAGGAGTCCATCATCAGTATTGGCTTACTACTATGAGGTAAAAATGATCACTTAATTCCCAGTAGTGTGAAGTTTTAAGAAACTAAATTTCTTAAATCGAAATCTGGTCTCTCTTTTCATCTATCTGCTACATGAAATGAAAATCATATATGAAAATAAATGACACCGTAAACCCTGCCATAACCAGAGCTCAGGTAGAAGCCATGTCACTATTGCATGATTTAGAACAAAGCATTTTTCATATGAATTCTGACTACCTACAAAAGTTTCAACTGGAACAAGAATGTGGAAAATAGTATTTAAAGAGAAAAATAATTTTCTCAGTCTTACTATTTCACTATTTCATTTCTAAGTTGGAACAGTTTTAGCAGTTTTTTGCAGAGATTTACCATCACTGTCATGTCTGCTGAAGTTCCCATATTGTATAAAAGGTAGATTTCCATGTTCCTTTTTGATTATAAACCACCATCCAACCTTGTAGGATTTGGTTTCTGTGAGTGTTTACCTGAAATCTGCTATATTTTTATCCGATCACTCAGAAAACAGTCAGCCAATCAGAAGAGAGGCTCAGAGCTTCCTCTCATCTGATTTTCTCACTGACCTGTTGTTTCTAGAGCTCCAGAGAAAAGCCTGAGAGAGGAGATGTAAAACTACACTGAGATGGTTTTTGGTTCTTAAAAACACAAACATCTTCTTATGGATCAACACTTCAAACAAAACACTGTAAAAGGGTAAAATATGGGACCATTCCAAATTCAAATTTGTAGGTTTATAGAAGAGATTTGATTATCTGTGACAACAACAATTCATACGAACTGAATCAGATGAATATATAAAAAGCTCAAGGGAAACATGAATGGCTCAACATAATTTATTTTCATTTTATGTTAAAATGTACAGAGTTCTTTGAAAGTACTTGCTAAGAAAGAAAAAAAAACGAATAAATGGAAATACATACAGGGACAGAGTAGAGAGTCGAGGCTGCTGGGCGCAAATCAACCTTCACTGTGTGCCCAGCTGTCACTCCTCTCTTTATTTTGCGCCATCTCTTAGCATACAACGCAACATGTACAATTACAAAGGATACAAAAAGGGAAGCGATATAAACAGACAGAAATATACTGAGCTCATTTTTACATGCCTCTTAAATGTAAGGAAGTCATCCTATACACACACAAGAAGTAAAAAAAAGAAAAGAATGCCAAGTGACCTTTAGATATTTGTAGTCCTTTTGTTTAAAATAGCATTAATATACTACACAAAGATAGAAAAACTCTAGAGATGAGATGGAATGGAGAGGTTAAAGGCATCTTAAAGTCACTAAAAGTGAGTGGTAATTTTTTTAAATTTTGAATTTCTTAGTAATTATTACCCAAGAGGCGAGCTAAAAAATATGTATTGTTTTTTTTCCTGAAACAGAAGTGAAAAAAATGACAGTACCAATATCAATGTCAGAATTTCCTTTTATATTATAGAAAAAACATTTTCTCTACAATAGGTTTTCTAAAGTCAAAAAGAGTCAGCTTGTGTCATAAAAGAAAGCTGCCCAGTCTGATAAAATTCAGAAAGAAACAAAACAAAACATAAGTACAGAACGGAACAATACACACAAAGTATGCACTGTCAGGTCTGTAAGAAAATGAAAACTCCTCTTTTGACTTTGAATACTGGTACATGGAGCAACAAGGTCAACCGTTTAACCCCTGCCAGTTGAACGCCATAGCCAACAGGACCTCAAACACTTACTCACTTCCAACCCTGCTTTCATATGAGTGTGCCTCTACGTGAGGGCCAAACCATGCGCTAGATCAGGCATTCAGGCACACCTTTTACAAAGGCTAACCGTCTACTGCCATATTTCCAGCCAATGGGAGTGCAGAGTTTTGCAGAAACAAAAAAAAAAACAAAACAAAAAAAAAACAAAAACAAAAACAAAACAGTTTTAACAGAATACACCATTCAAAAGCAGACTCCTTGACCTCTTTGGGTCACTAACACTTAAGGAGGGGAAGTCAGCTATAGTTAACTGACTTTCTTTGAAGCAGTTAAATGGAAATCCCACCATTTGTTCTGCATTCCCTAAACTGCTAAAAAAGGCTGACATTGTACACCGTCTGTCAGTGGAGTGTGGAACAGCTGAATGTTTCCTGAGCCAGCCACCAATTGGCAAAAGCTAGCCAGTGTGTGTATTTGTGTGTTTGTGTGTGCACGCTGGATATTGGGAAGTACCAGAATATTTACATCTAAACGTGTCAGAGAGGCGGCAAACTGGAAAATAACGCTACTTGTTTCATTTATGGACATATAATAGACAGTAATGCGCTCGTCTCTTCTGTGTCTTTGCTGTGTTTTTGGTACGACACCGTCCATCCGGGAAGACAGAGACTCTGGAAACAGCTCAACACCTCAAACACCGGAGGCCCCGCTCCTATGCTTTTCTGGAACCAGGTGAAAAGCTGTCTGACCAAGTGACCACAGAGATGTTTGGGTATTTCTGAGAGAGCAAGAGGGTGTATCACTTTTTCAGAATGCCACACATATAAAGACCAAAGCATATAAGAGGTCGGACTGCACACAAGTATTTCAAAAAACAATCAACAAAAACAACAACAACAAAAATAAGATTCAACATTATGTAACAAAACAAAACAAGAGTCCGCCTAATATGTTTCACTGTCTCTTTTTTCAAGGTAAGGCTTCCTATATCAATTAAAAGATTGTGTGCATGGTTGAATATATTCAGTTTTCATTTGCAGTCTGACAAAGCAAGGTACTCCTGTACTGTCTTTCTCTTGTGTATCTTTCTCGTTGTT